GAATCCGTTCAGTCTTATGCACTATGTATTTTAACGTTGGTCGTTTGACTCACTTAATTCATTTCGAATATTCAGTTTCTTTCGAATGAATTATATTAAAGAAAAGCTCGTCAAATTAGCTTTAGTTGATGAACAAACATCAAGTTCCTAATTTCAATTTTGATCATTTTTTTATGAATAAAAAACCATTTTTTGAATACTCTAATTTAAAATTTATTTTCTTTTTCTTTTACAGGTAAGTTGATCAATGGTTATCCTATTTGACCCCATAATCGAGACATCTGGTGATTTATTCGGCAATTTCAGCTGTTTCAAAGTTTATTAAGTATTTTCATTGATTTATTAGACAAATTCAAATGTTCCAGTGTTGATTGTTGCATTTAAAAGAAAACCACAAGTAAATAGAAGAATATTAAACCATACAATTGCAATACCGAAATCAAAAGCTCAGTCGAACTGTTTTCCTGATAACAATTGGTGTAATTTCGATTATTTGGAATGTTTACTGTTGGAAAATGTGTCGTTAATTCAGTATTAGCCTGAATGCTGACATTTTGTTCGATAATTTCTCCAATTTCTTCAGTTATGAAAATGAATGAAAACATTTGTGTTTGATTTTGGTGCTGCTGCTCACCGTTTTCACCACACAATAGTTCCAATGAAGACAGCATACGCCATTGATATTCTCGTGGACTTTCGCTCCGAATTTGACTAAATTGCGTATGAGATCCACTCTTGACAAGTTTTCGTAGTCCGTCTAACTGACAGTCACAATGCCATGGATTTAAATAAAGATAAATTTCAACCAGCCTGTTACGTGCTTCCGCAAATAAACTCGCTTGTACTGAAATTAATTTGTTATCACTCAAATCTAGCACGTTCAAAATTTTGAGAACTAAATCAAAGGATCCATCCTCAATAAATGCAATGTCGTCATTCAATAGGCGCAATTCAACGATATCCAGAAGACCCGAAAATGTTGACTTGGTGATTTTTCCTAATTTGCATCTCGCAATTTTTACCTCTTTAAGATACTCAACTGTTCCAAAGAGATTGTTCACCTGTACGAATTGCCTGTCATCACAATTTTCCATTTCAAACGTGTTCAATGCTTGAATTGGCTTGAAAAACTATGGTGTGAATGTTAAAAGTTGGAAATTTTCCAGAACAAGTTGTTGCAACTTGTCCAACCCATTGAATGCACCAGCATCAAGTACTCCAATCCGAGTTTGAATTATTAAATTTTGCAAATTTTTGAATTGAAACTTATTAAATGCGTCTGCTTTGATTGTAAATATATTCAATTCTTTCATACGAAGATATTTCACCGATACTGGCACGGTAAACCAATCCTTTGCCATGAATGGAATTTCATACGAACCGACCGGATTAACGAAATTGACTTTCCAAAGTACCAATTGGATGTGCTCCATGGGTGGTGCCTGAAAAATGCATCGAAATTATTAGTTGAACTCAAACTTAGGGAAGTAAAAAGTGTGTGTTCAAGTTTAAGAAAAGAAAACAAATTTTTTGTTAATTTTTTTTAAACACATTTTGTTCAATGTTCAACTTTGTTCACAGAAAATGGGAAAATCGGTTAAGTTTCATCTTACTTTGCCAGCCATGGATCATTTCAAATACATTTGTAGAACCGCATTTATGCCGAGAATCTGGAGACTTTTTCAAAATTGAACATACATCATCAGCATTTGTTAATTAATCATATTCATTTAAATGAAATAGAAATAAAATCCACAGAAATCTCAATATGAGACTGATTTTTCTCATTCTTCAATGTTTGTGTCCTAGTTTGTGTCACCTGTGCTCTAGCTCAACTGATCGCAATAATGAAAGTTTGCCCGCTTTTTAGTATTGGGCGGTATTTTTGAATTAATCGATTGATCTTTATCTTGAAAAAAAGCTTTAATTGTTAATTAATAAGCTTTTTTCTTCCTCTGCTGATAAAAAAAATTCAATATTCAATCGAGCGCAATTGAAATTGCGCGTCAATCAACGTCATTTATTCAGCGAACAATCAAAATCGACACAAATGTTCATAATTTTGAAAAACGAAATTTAACTCCATACTAGTAATTGCTTCGAAAGCGGTGATATCAAAGGAAAACAATGCATAGATTGATTGAGTTGATCGCTTAAAACATCAAAGCCAAGACTCGAACGCATCAATTTAAACGTTTTGACACATTAGCGATTGGCCAGATTACCACCTAATTCTTTTCTATTGATGACACATTTTAGTCATGCAAAAATTTAATTATCCAACAAAGAAAGCTTCGATGGAAGATTTTTCAAAATTTGTATACAACAATGTTAATCTCACTCGTCATTCCAAAGTAAATTCAATTCAGATAACGATTCGTTTATAATGACAACTTATACCTAGCTTCATCCTAGATTGCAATTTAGATCATCATTCTTTCATGAAAGAATTTGATTGAAGCAATAAGTTTTTTTATTTAAATTGTTCTTCAATTTGTAATGTTGTAACAATTGGATTAGTCATTAGATTTGAATAAACAAATTAAAAGCATAGAGAGACACGCAAGCATAGATGAAAAGCATTTTACTCAAACGATGAGTTTTTACGTCGTTCTGGGAATTTTCAACAGCCGTTGAATTGGTCGATGAAAGATTTACCGGAGCAACAGTCTCAAATTCGATGACCAAGGATTCTGTTTGTTCTTTGATCACTTCAGTTGTATTGGTCGTTGAAGAATTTGTTTTCTCAGTTTTTACTGTGCCTTTGATCGTTTGTTCGAATTCAATTTTGGGATTCCGATTTCCCTCTCCTACTGGATCATGATCACTCGACAAATCATCACTTTTGTCTATTTGATCTGTTTCTAGATCATTTGCTTCTTCTTTTAAGCCTTCTTCAGGGTTTTCATTGTTGATTTCAACTTTGACATCGTTCATAGCATCGTTTTTGGCTTCATTCTTACCATTTTTTGGGAGTTCATTGTCGATATCTCCCCTTATCTCTTCATCCATGGCTGGCAAACATATGTTGGTTGAAATTTGCTCAAAATTTCCATTCTCTATCGTATCATCGCATCGTGATGGTAGAGTGGACAGTTTTTTCCCATAAAATTTCTCTGGAGATGCACAATGAATGTCCGTAAGCTGTACATGTGGTAGATTACTTGCAAAATTCCAAAATCTTTCTAGCATACAATCGCAATGCCATGGATTACCAGTGAGATTGACTGTAAGAACTTTTAATCGTCCCGTTTTGAATAGACCAATCGGTAGAGAGGTCAAATCGTTATTGCTTATATCGGCCAATTCCAATGTTTCCAAACTAATATCGAATGAGCCATCTTCAATTTGGGTAATATGGTCATTGGACAAATGAATTTCAATTAATTTTTGAAGGCCGGAAAATGTTGATGCAGTGATTGTGTCCTTCAGTACACAATTCTGAATGTGTACTTTGGTCAAATGCAACATTTCAACTGATTTGAACAGATTGTCAATCCATAAATTTTGACGGCAATCAAGTAATGTAAATGCTTCCAATGATGGCATCGCACGAAATGTATCGTCTTCAAATTTATCCAAATACGCACTTTGAATTACAAGTAATTTCAATCTACTCAATCCACTGAAAATGTCACCGGATACACGCTTAATTCGCATATTGGATATTTTTAATGCAAGCAAATTTTTGAATTTCCACGTGTCGAAAGCATTCTTTTCGATTGCCGTCACAGATAATTCATCCAAAATAAGATTTTCTACAACACAATTCACTTTAAACCAATTCGGTCTTAACGTTTTGTCATTCGGGAAATTGATTTTGAACAATTTCAGGCTGATTCGATCTCTTGCTGCGACTTGCTTCTAAAAAGTTTCGGAATGAATGTTGAAATTTTATGAATTTATCTAAAAAAAAAAAAATCAATCCAAATTACCTAACTGTTAAAAAAAAACTTACATAGATCAACAGTTGAAGCAAATCGTCACTCATCACGTCAACGTTTTTGTTCGAACAACTGAAGTTATAGCCGTCGTACATGCTTTGAATGTCACAACTTTGCAACGAGTTTGCGTTGTAGTTTTGATGGAAAAGAGCAAGAAAAATTAATAAGATATTGATACGGATGAGCCTGTGAACAGAATTTGCCATTTTTTTTTCGACCAAATTGCGATGAAAGTGGAACTGAACTGAATTGAAAATTGATTTCACACATCACTTTCATCGAGAAAAAAAACTTTATGGAAATGAAAAAAAAAAAATGATTAAGCCGGTGCATTGAAACGGATTATTCGACTAAATTGGAGTTGTTGCTTTAGTTGAAAAATATTACAAATGTGTAAGAATTCGTTAATTAAAGAATTTTCATTTGTTCAAATTAATTAATTAACGAATAACTGTTTTTTTTGTTATTTTCATTATTTCAATCATGGTCCTTTATTTGAAAGAATTTGAAAATTTTCCATAACAAAGCAAATAATGTGCAGGAATTGTGTTCATAAAGGGTGTTCCTAAGAGAATTGAATCCCTAATCGAAAATGCAATTGATTAAATGTAATTAAAAAACATTTTTATTTAAAAAAAGACCAAAACATGAATTTTGATCACAACAAATGGCATATTTAGCTTTCGATTAAATAGTTTTCTGATGAAATCTTTTGAATTGTGATATTAAATTTCCTTTATTGAAAGAATTTGAGCAAGTACATAAGTAATCAAAATATTTCATAACTAATTGAATTTTTCCCTTTTTTCTAGGTAAGTCCCACGTCAATTTTTCTACTAAAGACCGGTGTTTGGTTTGTATATTTCGATTTCCAACTAATTTATTGTCTTTCTCTCGATTTTCAATCCAATTGATCACTCATTAGACAAGAATAGAAGGATATTTTGTCCATTGATTGTTTTAATCAAAGAAAACATTTTTTTTTAATAAAATGTGTGGCTTTCCCTAAACAAAATGAAAATTGAACTCAATTTTAAAATATTAATGTTTTCGTATACAAAATGAAGAATTCAATTGAGAAAAAAAAAAACCCGATTCCCACCAAAATTTATTGGGTCACACTCGCTGTTTTTGCCTTTTTAACTCGTTCATTTGATAAAACATTTAACTGCATCTTCGGCATTGGCCAAAAGAATGACGATCCAAATGCCTGCTGCGCAAGCAAGAATTGCACTCGAAATAGCAAAAATGATCATTTTATTCATTTCCATCAAGATCCATGTATCATTCGAAAGTGGTTCATTCTTTGCCTCGGAATAAAATGTCAAGCAATCGGATGGAAAGTTTGAAGTGAAAAGTCGTTTAATCCAGCAGAAACGGTACATATGATTAGGTTTCAATGTCATTCCAAGTTTAGTTTTCAGCAGTGAGGGTTTTCGTTCAACATTTTTTACAAAGCATTTAGCGGACTTTTTAAAGTTATCCTTGTTACCACTTTGTAATTTCACATCGCTCAAACTACTGTTGTCCAGAGAATTTAACTCAAAAACCACAAAACTTGAATCATAGTTATCAAATTCCACATCGACGATCAATTGTCCATTTTCATTGCGAACAGTCAAACGTCTGTTTCGATCGAATTTGGTCAAAATTGCCTCATGTCTGCTTCGAAACTTGTTGAATGGATGATAAAATGTGGTGTTGAAGCATTTTATTCCAAAGTGTCCCTTCGAAACGGCTGATGAATTTAGAGTAAGCTCCACATTTGATGTTTGCTGTTGCAAGTTTAGCCATGGTGATAAGTGATAGTTGGAAGATACGTGTAAAGTCTCTGCTCCAAAAGGATGAGAATACAAAGGATATGTCTCATCTTCAAACGGGGTGTATTTGCAAATTGGACCAAGTTTGTTCAAAAAGCGGAAAGCTTTGTTGGGTGGACTTAGGCATTTGATGAGGCTTAATTTCACATTATTTGTTTTATCGTTGATGAATCTTCGTAGTGGTTCGATGTCGCAATCACAATGCCATGGATTTTTATCGAGATCAATTATGGCTTCACCCTGTGAATGTCTGAATATGTTCCGTGGCAAAGTCTTCAATTTATTTACTCGCAGATCAATCAATTTTCTAGTGGCTGTCGCCAAAATGATGTCAAACGAATGCGGTCCAATTTCGGTGATTTGATTTTCGTGCAGCAAAAGCTCAGTAACATTACGCAGACTCGAAAATGTCGATGATGTTATTGTGTCGTTCAAATTGCATTTCGAAATCTCCACCACATTCAAATGGAACATTTGGACCGTTCCTCCGAAGAAATTATCCAGACTTACTATATGATCGCCACAATGTTCAAACAAAACCTTTTGCAAGTTTAGCATCGGAGCGAATACATTGGCTTGGATAGTGTGTAGTTCCAAATGGGTCAAGAAAATTTCTTTTAAATTCATCAATCCAAGGAATGAATTTTCATACAGAATCCCTATCGGAGTGTTTTTAATGCTTAATGATTCCAATTCGGTGAAATGATCTGAATTAAATGCACCCTCCTGGATGCTTCGAATATTTAATTCATAAAGGCTCAAATAATTCACCGTCATATTTACGGTTAACCATTTTCGTGGCAAACGATCACTGATCGATGTTGGAAACGAAATTATTGATAGTGACATTCCCACGGAATCGGTTGGCGCTTGATTCTAAAGAAAAATGAGTCGATTTTAATGGTGGGAAAAAATGGAAAAAGAGTAATTGATATTCGATGAAATTAATTTTTGATCAACAAATAGAATTAAACAAAAATAAACAAGAAGAATCAAAAAATCAATCATGAATAGTCAATTGCCGTAACTTACATCTCTGATGACAAAATCCAACATTGAGTTAATTTCGCCTGACTTCACGTTGCGACAGCTAAACATTTGTCTTTCCATTTGTCTTTCCATTTGGAATACTCGAGAAGTTTTGCAATTTCCATGCACACTTATCAAATAATTCCACAGAAATAGGAATAGAACGGTTATGAATTTGGATGTTCGTTTTATTTTTACCATTTTTTTTTTGTTGACGGCTCTAATTCTTTGACTGAATTGAATGTAAAGGGAGACGCTTCACTTGTTTTATGCAGAAAATTTGCTTTTAATTTAGTTTCTCTTTGAATTTTCCGACCAATTTGGCTAAAAATGTTTTTTATGTGTTTATTATTGGATTTTTTTTAATGAAATAGTCAATATTTTCATTAAAATAATTGCGCATGGTTTCACATAAGCCGACAATTAGAAAGGATAAATCAAAATGGCGAAGTTTATTGATGAAAATAATTTGATATGATTCAATCATTTCAAATTGTGCGGCAAATTCAAAGGACAAAAAATTAGAATCATTAACAGAATTTCTTTTCCTCATACGTACGGCAAATTATTTGATTTTTTCCAGAGCCTGTTTTCGGAGCGGGATCTTCCTCTTCTTCTTATTGTGAAATTCAATATTTCTATGTGACTTCTAAAAGGGAGGAAGATCCCGAAAAAACCGGCTCTGATTTTTTTCATCAATGGACATTGAAGTAATGCAAAAAAAGCCAATTATACACAGTTTTCAAAAACCTTTATTCATATGAATTTCCAAACACAATTGATACTCATGACATTTTTCAATTTATTTTCAATGAAATTGCACAATCACTTGATAAAGTCACGGAAAGTCATTGAACTTTATCAAGTGATTGTTTTTTTTTTCTTCGAAATGTAGGTTATTCTTTGTCGCAAATTGATTGGGTAGATTGATGAATAATGGAAATTTTGATGGATAAAGTCCGTGTCTTTTCCAGGGTGAACCATCATTCAGAACTTTTGTTGCGTTGACCAGAACATTAGCTGAACTCACAATATTTCGGTTCTGTTTCTAAACATTTCGGTGTATTGTTCCTAGGTGGTAAAGGTGGTGGCACATCCATGACTGATACATAATCAGAAGCTTTATTTTTATCAAAATTATCAAAAGCCGCCGTATGCAAAGACATTTGAACCGTTGGTCGATTGTAACGTCGGGATGAAAATCGTCGGCGAAGTGGAACTTCGGAGAGTCTGGAAAAAAATGAACAGTTTTTTTTTTCATCATACAACAGTTGCTCAATGGGCTTAGTTGAAATTTTAGTAATTTCTTGAGCAAAATTGTTCGAACTTTCATGAAACCACCTATGATCACAGGTGTGTATACGATTACTATCGTTAAAGTTGGAACTGAAGCCATTTCATTTGAAATAAATTTGTAGAAAAGAAGAAAAAGTGAAAACGAACCTGAACCGTTGAACTGCTTCCAATTCCTTTGGTGTCAAGAAAGAGTCGATAGTCTGGATTGGTCTTCGTCCACGGATTTGCTTTGGGAACACTTTAGCCAGACCGCAAGCGGTCGCAATACCGATGAGAGGTGCCAAAATTGCTGATAGAACTGTGATCGTAATCCAAGTTGGTTTATGTTCGATTTTGAGCCAAAAATCGACATCATTCACGTTGCGAATTGAATGAAATGTCATGCAATTCAACGGTGCAATCAGACCATTTTCCATCCAACAAAGTTGATATGCTCGATTTGGTTCTAATCCGGATTTGATGATGACCTTATTATCATCGGTGACTTTTCCGTTTTTCCAGCATTTCGAAATAATTTTATCGTTGTTATTTAAGGATTCTTCGAACCCAATCAATGCGAAATGTCTCGGAAAGTATTTGGAATCAACAATCAGTTTGTCATTTCTATAGCGAACCGGATTCACAAAATCAGCCAATGGTTTTGAAATGCGTACCGATTCATTTGTCAATGGAAATAGAATTGGGACATTTGTCAGTTTGCAACTCACAGGTATTCTGTTTGTTCCATTCACCGATTCTTTTCCTTTCTCATTGGTCGAATCGATCGATTGGATTGATTCGATTTCTTTTGACGGTTTCAATTCGATTACCTCAGGTGTTTTATTACATAGCTTTGTGTTCAATGTAGATAAACGCATCGGTGCATGTTCCGGTGGCGATGTGCAGATGATCGGACCGATCTTAAAATTAGTATCGATTGTATTGAGGATTCGTATATATTGACGAAAGTTTTCCATATTACAGTCACAATGCCATGGATTATTGCCGAGGTTAATCGTAGCAACAAATCTAGGTGAATTTGGAAATAAATTCCCCGGCAAAAACTTCAGATCATTTTCTGCTAGTGAAAGAATTTGCAATGTCTTCAATGGAACATTAAAGGATCGTGGTCCAATTTGTTGAATTTGGTTTCTGTCCAAATGCAATTCAATCACATTCCGGAGACCAGAGAATGTGAACTCGGTTATGGTGTCTTTTAAATTACAGAGCTCAATTTTCACCTTTTGCAAATGGTACAAAACCGATGACCCGAAGAGATTGTCGACTGTAATTTTCTGGTCATCACAATGTATAATTGTTACAATTTCCAAGTTTGGAAGCGGTTCGAATATATTTTCGCCAATTGAACGAATTCCCACCTGAAGCAGAGTTAATACCTTTAAATTTGTCAATCCATTGAACATGCCTTCCAACAAACTCATAATCGGCATTCGAATAAGTTCCAATGTCTCCAAACTCGTAAATTGCTTGGTGTTGAATGCATCTCTTTCGATTGCGTAAACCTCCATTTCGCGCATATACAGACGCTTCACTTCGATATTAACTTTGAAGAAGGATTTTGGAAGGACAGATGCTTTAAAGGTTTCTTTTGGGAAAATTATTTGCACCAGTCTCAAGTTAATGGGTCTCCCACTGAATCTCTCCTGAAATTCAACACGTAATAAAAGTAAAGAAATTTCGTTTCCAGCAAAGCTTGAAATAATTAACGCACCGTTGTCGCGATTTTAGATAAATTCCAAAAGACATCTACCATGGTCATTTTTTCACATTGATACAGTCTCTCTTTTTTCAACATATTGAATTTAATTTTACATGCTTGATCTATAGCACAGATGTGGTACAGAAGGAACAAAATGGATGGAAAAATTAGTTTCAAGTTGGATTTTACCATTTTGACGAACTGAATTCTACCAAATAACTAAGTAAACTGAACGAAAACTGTAGTGGCACGTGTCATTTTGTGGAAATCGGTGTCTTTGAATTTTGATTGAAGTCCAATCAGACTTTGCTTTTCATCATATTTGATTTGGTATTATGCATATGGATGAATTTTACTTATAATAACTTGCTCAATGAATTTCAGTTGCTATGGGCTACGGCCTTTTCTGTAGACTTTCATTGAATTTCATTCAATTTGTTCTACTAATTGGCGTTGGACTTGTGAAAAAGTACATAGTAACAGTATTATACGTAATATAGTCTGTACAGTCAAATTATAATAAGACTATAGCCATTTTGACGCGGCGAAATAGTGTCATTTGATAAAATGGGGGACACGTGGAATATTCTCAATGTTATTGATGTTGTTGTTTTCGTACTATTGTTTCGTTGTTGTTGTTTTTGTCGTCCACGCATGTCAGAGAGCGACTCCTGCGAACCAGCTCCTCAATAAATGAGCGCTCAACTATGAGTGAACTGACTCATTTGGGTTATACGAAAAAATGTCAAAACATTTTCAATTTTTCTTTTCTTTTAGTTGTCAATGTTTTGACATTTCGTTGTAGGCTATGGTGACGTCAACTAAATAAGCCAGCTCCCTCTTAGCTGAACGCTCACGTACAGAGGAGCTGGCTCGCAGGAGGCGCACGTGGACATGCTTGAAGAACGTGGACGAGCGGGATTTGCGTTTGAAATAGTTAGTATTGGCTCATGTCTCCCCGTTTGAAAGTAATTTCTTTCACAATTTTCTCTTTGAAAATGTTTTATGAAAGTTTCGGTTAGTTCAAAACCGAGGGAGTAGACACTAGACACACATACTTATAATCTCGCATTTATTGTATACAGAATACGAAGTGTGAAATTGTAAAGCGCCGTAAGCTCGCGAATTTCATCAAAATATGGTTAGACACAACTATATAGAGACATCCGATCTGAACAAAATTGCAAGGGATATGCATGTTTATACCTGATTATTGTGCGGCTTGTGCTTTGATCATACATTTCAGCCAAATAATTGAGGCTGTGAGAATGAAAATGGCAATACAGGAATAAACATTCTGAAACG